AGAGCAGTTCCCTGCCAGCAGCCCAGGTGGAAGGAGCTCTCTCTCATGGAAGAGAGGAGAAGCCGGAATGCAGGAGCAGCGTCTGACACTGCTGCGGGATGAAGTATCCCCAGTAGGCTGGAATGAGGTTATAGCCGGGCGGCTTCATTTTAAGTTATAGCCGAAGGACTTGCGTTTGTGTTGCTGTTTGTGACCAGTGGTTTGGGTGAGGCTGCTAGGGGTTGGAGGAGGCCTCATAGGGGACACATAGCAGTGTGGGAACCCCAGCACCAGTGAGGGCGCAGCATTCGGGGTGCACTGACCCCAGCCCCAGAGAGGGGCAGTTGAGAAGCCCCAGAGAGGGGGCATTGCTGAGAAGCCCCAGTGCGGGTATGGGGTATGGGCCCCAGAGAAGGGGGCAGCATTGTGGAGAAGGCCCAGAGAGAGAGGGCATCATAGACGAGCGCCAAAGAGAGGGCGGCAGTGTGGGAAGTCCCAGAGGAGGGCACAGAGAGTGACAGGGCCATGGAGAGCCCTAGCGCCAGAGAAGGCGCAGATCAGAAAAGGTAGGGCCCCGGGCAGACAAGGGGCCAGATTACAAGGCCAAGACAGAACAACATCTATCCCATCTGCGAGGCTTGGGGTGTGGTAAAGGGGTGGTTGGAGCCATGCATAGCCCATAAGGCTACAGTGCCCTGAAGCACTCACTATAGAACAGGACCCCCAAGGGGTCCGGTAGTCCACGGGGTCAGATATTACAGCGAACCGTGTCCAAGAGGACGTAAGGCAGCCTCCTATATATTTAATCACCATCAAAGACGTGGCGGGCGAGAAGTGAGGGCGCCCTTTGGGCCAACTTGGCACGGGAAGGGGGCCTTGGGGAGCTCACGGCCTTCCCACAAGACCCCGCACCGTGACAATCCCAAATAGCTGCTTGTGCTGTGTGGTCAGAAAGGAGAGTGTGGCCATGCCACTGCACCTTCTCCGCATCTACCCCTGCAAGCAGCTGCACAAGGTGCAGGGCACGAAGATCAGGCCTTGCATACCTAGGCAGCCTAGCAACAGACTGAATGTAATCAACCTTATACAGAGTAAACAACAAAACAAGTAGCGGTACATTTCTACATGTTTAAAAAACATCAAGCGCCCTGACCCTTTCTTTCTGCATGCTTCAGCAGCCCTTCACCCATGACTGCACTGCCTTTCACTTTTGCTTAGCATTGCTTATACTAAGTTGGGAGGTTTTCATGACCCCAACTTATTCTTGCAATAAAAAAAACAACTACCGAAAGGAGATGTTCTTAAGGAAAATGCTGCTGCAAGCCTAAACTGCACCAAGAATTCCACAAAACAGGCTACTTACCTGGGACTGTGCCATCTTTCTAGGTCACAGGATGACTAAACAAGAGGATTCAAACCTGCCAATGCATTAATTTGTCAAATGTTTAAAGTGAAAGCTGATGTTGGCCTGTTCAGATAGCTGATGTAGCCGGTTTTAGTAGGGTCACTGAATGGAAAAATACCATTAAAGAAGTGGACAACAACCAGCACTGTTTGGTTCTGTTCCTGATTTTGATAATGGGCTAGTTATAGGCAACCATGGCCTAATCACATGTGGACAGATCTGCTGCTCTAATCCACACTAAAATGTACCATAAAAGCAGTCGCACCGGAGCCAGTGGACAATTCAAAGAGTACAGTGATCAATGAACGTCCAGGTGGCAAAATCTGGCTTTGAATCTCTCTCCATAATCAACTTCTCCATCTGTAAAATGCCCAAGCATAATACTGATTTTAGATTAGAAAGGTTAGTAATAAAATATGTACAGAATATTGTATGCCTGAAAAGTCTTGTCAGAATTTTTTAATTATATGATGACAATCTTAAATCTCAAGCCTATTCTTCCATTTTCAAAAGGCTCTTCTTTTCACATTATTGAGGATCTGATTTCAACACCCTGAACTCTTGCTGAAGAATCCAGGTGCAGCCCTACTGACTGGTGGGACTCTTCAACACATGTAAGAATATTAGAGTGGAGCCAGAGAAACTTATAGCAGTATTTGTCATTGATTTTAACATAATTTGAGCAGATAAACCAAAAACGGAGAAGGAAAATAAATTCAGAAATGGAGAAGGGAATTAAATAAGGTTGCCAGTTTGATGAGCACTGCTTTCCTTGAAGCACACAGCATCCAATAGCAAGAATATAGTAGGAAATAAAGTGTGCACTGATGAGCAAATATAGAAAGGAGTCCAAGAATCTCCCCCCTCATACTCTCAAAGCTGTCCCTTGAATAAAGACTACTATTATGTTAGACAGTACGAGCACATCCCCACAAGTGTGCACGTGTGGTTTGCAGTGCTGGAAATCCATCCATGGCACCACTAACCACATGGACTGCACATGCATGCATTCATCATGCTGCAAATTAGCAGTGCGGTGGCTTTTTTTGACACCAGGAGATCCCAGTATCAAAAAAAATTGCCAAAGAAAAGCAGCACAGTGCACATGGCTGCAGCACACACTGCCTGAAACCACAGCCTGGATGGGCAGAGCCATGCTATGAGGAGCTGCCAGTCAGGCTCTGCACACTCAGATTGTCACTGTTGCAGCCCCAGGAGGCCCCCAGGACCCCAGGTAAGGCTGCTGAGGCCAGCCCACATGCCAATCCCTCCCCCCACCTCACCCAGGACAATTTGCCACGTGCCAGAGCACACATGCAGGACCATGCCTGGTCCTTTGTGCTGCTGCTAGTTGTCCCAGAGCTAACACACATTCCCACTTGTGGGGACACACCTAAGGGCTTTTCATCATGAGATTTTATCTTCCCTTTCCTGTAACACTGTTTCCTGGTTCACAATGTCACAGTCCCCCTCTGTGCAGTTGTTAAGTCACCATTACATACCAACCTGAGGCTGAAAAACAAGGAATATGCCAGTTTAAATATTATTTACTCAGAAACTAAATTGTTTTGCTAGGAAAGCCTGTTGGGATGAAAGGCCTGGGTTTTGCTGTTATAAGAACAGGCAGACTGTATAAACAAATGGATTCATTCAAAATAATATCTCAGTTTACTACCAGAGCACAACTGAAGTTAGAAGATGGGATTTTCAGCAGTGCTAAGAACAGTCAGGTGCCTTACTTCTCAAAGCTCGGTGGTGGAAGAGGCCTGACTCAGAAGTTTCTGCCCTCTTCCCTAACAGCCAGCAGAAACAGCCCAGGACACCTGAGGACGCATATGCAGAATCCCTCAAAGAGATACAGCTGTTTGCATATTCTTTTGTGCAGAGGTATTCTGGGAGGCAGAGTAAGGCCCGCTAGTATGCTGTTGGACAGTGCTAAGCCCTGTAGGTGCAATCCAGTGCTAAGAAACAGTGCACCTGGGGGAGGTATGAAACCAAGTAAAAATGCAGCACACACATTCCATGGAACCTTAACAGAAGAGTACAGTACATCAGGGTTTCACGTCTAATTATTTGCGTCAGTCTAGTACTCATAACAGTACAGAACACAATAAGATAACCTGCTGCGAAACTAATTATACCAACATCTGTCTACTTTTCCCAGTGATTTAAGATGGCCACACTGTGTAGCGAGTACAGGATGGACAAAACCACTCAAGGGAGGGGAGGAGTTCACACGCTCAAAGCCATTTGTGAATGAAACAAAACCTGGTGTCCAGCGAAGCATGGCATGGAATCCCCACAAGGGCTGATGTGAGCAACAACATACTGATCTTGGAAGACAAGTGAAACCATTCATTTAACCTTCCCCCTAAAATAAATTCATGGTTAAAACGTCATCACACACAAAAAGAAAACTATAAGAATGGGATTTCATGAAAATGACTGAATGATTTAATACAGTGGGGGCCAATCTTTTTGGTGGGTATACCAGAAACTAAGCCCCATGCTCTCCTCAAGTGCCACGCCAATCCCCTTCTCTGCCCGATCTCCTGCTTGCTTTCTGCAGCTATGCACACACAGAGGCTGCCACACGTTGGCCACCCCTGATACAGTACACTTTTCCCCAAGTTTGGCATTAGCATCACATTGCCAGGTACAAATCTCTTTTTTAAATGAAATGATTGATAATGAGAGTTTCCCCCTATGCTGAAGCTTCCATCCAGAATCCAGTTGTACTGTCAAATTTTCCCACTCATGCTGAAACTTGAAGTCCACATAATACAAATGGAGAGCATCAGCATTCATTTCAATGTTGCCTATTGAAAGTGGGATATTCAAAAAGCCCAGAGTCGGCCTAACTCTTCTCTGAGAGAGAAAACCAAACACAATTCCTGTTGGCTTTAATGGATGCTTAGCTAAGCCAATGATGAGTGCTTGTGAAAAATCAAAAAATTTAATGGATAACTTAAATGAACCTAGTTCCAGGCAAGTTTTGGCAGCAGATGGCTAAGCACTAACCACATATACATAAATAGTGAGGTAGCCTTCTGTTTACTTTGTTTACATGCCCAGTTTCTTAATAGGTTCACACTGTTTGCAGCTACATCCCCCCCAAAGGAAGGAAGCCAGTGCACTTCAATAAAGCTACATCACCCCCAAAGGAAGGAAGCCAGTGCACTTCAATTTGTATTTGGATTTTGTACCCATTGCTTCTGTCACAGGAATAATACAGTAGTGTACAAGTGATATTGTAGCCATGATGGTCCAAAAATTATGCAATAGGCTAGGATTTGTTAGGGGGATATCTTTCATCTTTTGGAGCAGCTATGTAGTTGGGACAAGGTTAAATAAGCATTCACATGTATGATATTCTTTCTCAGGTCGCAGCCCCTTACCTGTGCTGGTGCTAAAGTTGCTGTGCCTAACTTCCTATAATCAGAGATCTGAAGAAGAATATCTCACATTTGAAATCTTGTCTAACTTTATCCCAACTACATAGTTAGTCCATTAAAAGATATCACCCTAAGAAATCCTTGCCTATCAGAGAAATAATATAACTGAGAGTGAAAATAGGTGGGTTGCAAATCCTGGAGCCAAAAAGGTATCCTCTTACCTGGGTCTGGTGGCAGGCAGGCACAAGAATATTGGGTGATATAGTCCACTTTAAAATGGGAATTGATTGGGTAATAGTCTGCTAACTTGATCATCTTCTTGAAAGCATCATAAATGAAGATGAAGCTAATCAGGGAGGAAAACCCTTCTTCTGTGAAGCGAGTGAAGTATTTCACCAGGAAGCTGGCATCAGTTGCAACCAGAATGAGACATTGGAAGGCAGACCAAAGGCCGATCCAGAGACGAAACTCCAAGTAATCAAAGTCATTGTCTCTGCAAAAAGCATTTTAAAAACAGGTGGCATTGAGAAAAGAAAAATACCAGAGCTGGCTATTTCTACAAACTGTTAGAATATTCCATAGAGAAACTAGGAAATGCATGGATTTTAATGCCTGTTATTCTCAGAGTATAACAAAGCCAAGAATTCTTGCAAGGTTTTAACACACCTGCAAAAATGACAGTTTAATGGCCTAGGAATGATTAGTTTGCTAGATTAAAAGATGAACTGAAGTGCTTTTTTTGAACAAATAATAGAAGATCAATTAGGAAATAAATAAATACAGGGATGTAAAGGGACAAATCTCCAACTGGGTCACACCAGGACAGCTTTGCTGAAATCACTGGTGTTATTTCAATTTGCACCAGTTGGGGAACACATGACCAAAGTTTACAAACAGCAAGAAGAAAAACACTTGAAGTTGAACTTTTCCTCCAAATCTGAAGCTGAGGATTCTGAGAGTTTCTCAAGCAGCAGCAAAGAGAATACAAGTATATGTATCACTTTAGAACTCAACAATATTTATCAAAGGGTGAAAAAAAGCATGAACTCAAGCCTTGGCATTTTGGGAAGGGGGACTTACCACTTCAGTTTCTGCTTGTCAGTTTCTGCTCAGTGCTATCCTGCCTTACTGCAAAGAGTTAATCAAATGGGGCTTTTTAGCAAGGAAAAATGTGGCAGACAGAAGAGTGACAGAAGACAAGATAAGTACTATAAGGTACTTATGGGGGAGGTATTACCGTATTTACTCAAACACGAGACAAGGGTCCCCCCTAATTGGCACAGGGAAAAAAGACTCCTCATCTTATAACTGCATACAAGTAAATCTCACTAAATACATTGTTTATCATTAAGCTGCTGCTAAAAGCAACACATACTCAGCAATGGAAGCCAACTAGGAAGTTGATAAAAATGAAGTCAACACTGAGCACGACTATAAAACACATGGGCCACTGGGCAAACATGTTGATGGGAACCAATCACAAAAATTAGTGTAGCCCATCTGAATAAGATGTACGGTAGTGCCTCATAACACATTCCCACTCACTGCTGACTCTTTTTCCAGTCATGGTGAGCCACAACATTGCATACAGTTCGCCCAGAATCCTTCTGCTGGCCCTTCTCTCAGACTGGTACATATGATTATGTCCCCCACCCCACCCCCAGCTTCATGAGATGTAGCCAGAACAGGTTGCCATGCTCCTTATCCGTACATACATTTTTGAAGCATCCCAGGATCCATGATGAGAACACCCGGTTCCAGTGATGAGTAAGGGCTTTAGCACATGGCTCCTTTGTGGGGGTGGTATCTGGTGTATACACACACACACTAAGCAGTGCTAAGCATCATGGCTTGAAATGCTGTTGACTTTGGTGGGGCACGACACAACGAACTATGTGGTAAATCACAAGCCTTTGGCTTTGAACCAATATAGTTTCATAGTTGGTAGGGTCGGAAGGGACCTAAGCAGATCATCAAGTCTGACCCCCTGCCATGGGCAGGAAAGAATGCTGGGGTCAAATGACCCCAGCAAGGTGTCTATCTAGCCTCCTTTTAAAAACCCCCAGGATAGGAGCGAGCACCACTTCCCTTGGAAGTTGGTTCCAGATCCTAGCCGCCCTGGCCGTGAAGTAGTGCCTCCTGATATCTAGCCTGAATCTACTCTCCATCAACTTATGGCCGTTATTCCTTGTTACTCCCAGTAGTGCTCGGGGGAACAGGGACTCTCCCATTGCCTGCTGGTCTCCCTTGGCCAGTTTATAGACGGCCACTAGATCCCCTCTCAGCCTTCTCTTGTGGAGGCTGAAAAGGTTCAGGTCTCATAGCCTCTCCTCATAGGACCTGCCCTGCTGCCCCCTGATCATGCGAGTGCCCCTGATCATGCGAGTATATCATGCACTGTTTATACTACATATAAGTAGGTGCCAAAGTGCTGCTCGAATATGTGTTCATGGAGTACCTGTGCTAAAACTTGTAGCAGTTTCAAAATAAGCTAACATACATCAATTCTGGATAAACTAAGTTCATAATAGTATATGCAAATTGCTACACCAATTTTTAATTTCATGCTTATTGTTTTTAAATGTGTTCCTCACTACCATGTGCTTAGGAATAGCAGGGTCTAATAGGAAGGAAAGGGGGAAGGGGATGCTGCCAGGGGAAAAAGTTGGGGGGGGCACAGAAAGCAAAGGGATACCTGACTCTCCCCACCCCAGATTTATTTTCCCTGTTGCAGCAGTGGGAGATAGACAAATTCAAGGCAAACCTCCAATAATTAGATTCTATACCTGGAAAATTATAAGAAATAGTCTAATTATTGGGGATTATTTTATAAACGGAGCTATCTTCTATTTGAGTAAATATGATATTTGGGAAATGCCTACCCCTCTGCTCTAACAGGGCTAACAGACTAACTTTTCCAGGAACAAGCCATGGATCAAAAGGGTATTAACTACTGAAAGCTGTGGCCTGGAGAGGAAGTGAGGAAGGCAAGAGATGGCAGCTTGGCATGTGTCTCTGGCAGAGATGCACAGAGAAGGGCTTGAAAAAAAGAAGAGCTCGGGAATACAGGTCTAACTGCACAGATAGTTCACAACCCTAACAATCCAGAATATGGGAGCATCATAAGACAACACTCTCAGACATGAACATGGGAGGAGGAAATTACTAGGTTGCAGTGAAGCAAATCTCTAGGGTCCTATCTACTCTATGAAAATCGCCATTGGTCATCAATAATAAGTTCCTTTTAGGCTCTACACACACTGGAAGCAGCTTCTAGTGTTAAACATTGGTTTTATCTCCTTGACACCACTGTCCGAAGAATGCTGAAGACCAAGCATGAAAGTGACTGTGACTTGGCATGCGAACACTGAGAACATTCTCTCCTAACATAGACCCTAGTAAATGGCTTGCAACACTATTTGAGGGATATAGTGCAATGGCTTAGAAATGCCCTTCAAATGGCCTTGCATTGCCGTAATGCCTTTGGTGCACCTATACATGGCACACCAGGACCATACATCCTCTAGTACTCAGAACCACTGGACAAAGATATCTTTTCCCGCACTTTTATTAATTCAATGAATTTTCTGTAAATGGCCAAATGGAATTCTTCCTTATTTTGGTCCCAAAATGGAGGAGGGTCTCAAGAGTATGAAGAACTGCACAAATGAATTACTAAAAAAAAAAAAAAAAAAAAAAAAATCACAGTACTTGACTGCATTTGCCATGTTGCAATGTCCCTTGCTATAAATAAAACTCACTGCTGCACTCAAAAAGGCTGTAATGCCAGTGGGTTTGAAAACCATCTCTGCTGCAGGGGAAAAATAAGAGGAATATTTGATTCCTTTTGCTAATCTAATTTGGATCAGATTGTCCTGGCTAGAAACATGTTGTTACACCTTGTGCAGTCCTTCTGTAACAGATTTACATCATGGAATATTAAGAAAAGGTTGGTCTTCCTTCTCCTCTGTAACATATCTTCCCAGGCTAGGAAGCTTCCAGATTTCTTCCTCCACCTATTCCATTTTATTAAACTCACTCACATCTCTCCTGTTACCTCCCAGAGGAGGAAGAGATGAGCCATAAAATTAATTTCCTCAGTCTCTGCTTATCAGAGGTTGGGTTGAGTGCAAGACAGAAGCAACAAATTCCCAGTGGACCAAAGGATTCTGTCCCATTCAAAAGGAGGCTATGCAGCAAGTGGGCACTAAGCTACCAGGCAACTTCATTTTTAAGCACTTTACTCATGGCTACTTCACAAAAGAGTGTTTATTTTATTTGGAAAAAAAAGAGAAAACTGTTTGGTATTTTGGTACAGCGTGGGGGCACAGAATAACTCAGACAGCAGGGAGCAGAAGATCCCAGGCCTCAGGGGAAT